TTTTTTACACAGCTTTTGCTTATTAAAACTTACTTCATGGAGCAATTAACAAAGAGAAATATCTTGCAACTCACTAGAGAAGAATCATCCATAGATGTCAGGATTCTTGTATTTTATTCCTACATTAAATCTAAGGACATGGGGGCTTGTTAAACTGCCTTTTTATTCGGAGATTTGTGGAGTTAGCATCTTCTGGCTGTCTTCGGCAAGATAATTTAGGTAAGAAAGTTTGTGCATATCTTTTAGCGCAGGTGACAACTTCTAATGAAGGATTTTACAGAGAGCAGAACACGGTCATTAATAACACAACATCCTCACCAGTCATGCATATTTCTTTTTTATAACAAGCATCTTGTTTGGTAATGGCAGGACAGCAGAGTGAAGATCCTGCCACATTGAAATTCATGAAGTCCAATCCACTTTATGAAATGCACATATAAAGACTTTCTGCTCAACTCTTTCTAAATTGCTGTATCTATCCTTATGACTTAAGGATTTGTGAAATACTCTCCTGCTAATAATACTTTAAAATGCATCTCCCCTGCAGTATACCCATTACGTCGATTGAACTACATAAGAGATTCTTAAAATACAGACTGTCTTATTTACATAAGGATCATTATCTGGGGAGGATCCCATGCTTGGGAGTAGGGGGAAGAACTAATGGCTGTATTAGAGGTCTGTCTGGGACTCAGCATCTTTGGAAGAGTGGTTGGATGCCCATGCTGTCAAAGTACATCAGGCAAATCAAAAGACTAGAATTCATCTCCTTTTGTAAGATGAAGGGGAACAAGGAACAATGAAGAAAGTGTGTACTCTGCATTGCTCTGGTTCAATCCCTTTCTGTAGGCTGCTCTGCCAAGCCTGGCTTATTGAGACTGGCTAGGGAGAAGAATTGTCTGATTTATGGAATGTTTTCAAAGAAATTCACTTTTTATACTCCTAAACGCAAATAATAACTCAATAATAGCTCAAACCCGGTGCACATTTTCCCAGGTGGGGGTCCTGACTGGCTGACAATGATTCGTAGTTAGTGTAGTGACTGTGTGTGCAGTATGTTGATGCTTCTCAAGGTCTGTCTTTAAGCTCACTTTTTACTCTCAGTATTCTTCCTGCGACTTTGTTTATTCTAGTAAGTAAACTTTTAGGAATAAGCTTTAGTCATGTCTCTGTTCCATGAATTAAAATTTAGTGGGACCTCAAGGAGGATTTATTTGTGTGTGTGTGTGTGTGTGTGTGTGTGTGTGTGTGCACATTTGTATGTATGTTTTTAGCCATTTTATTTTTAACCCAGGAAAGAGAAAAAGAAAACAACAAGTTATCACCAAGTTATAAGCCACAATGTCATGTAAGCTCTGAGCATAGTGATAAGAGCATGATCTCAAGGGAGGTGAATTGATGTTTTTTTTTGAATGTATGCTGTGCTCCAGACCATGAATTAGGTGATTTTGTATTAGAATCCAGGATTTATAAATCTCAACATACTGCAAGCACAGTCACTATGCTAATTATAAATCACTATCGGCTCAGTCAGGGCTCTGGCCCTTCCAGAACAGCCACCTGGGAAAGGAGATTCTTGTAATCTAATATCCTAACCATCTAACATCAAAATATGCTGCCTGAAAAGACACAGAGAAGCCTGGGATTAGGCCCTGGGACAGAGAATAATCAGGAGTCAGTCAAGTGGCAGCCTTGACTCACTGAAAAAGGCAGATGACCTAGAATAAAGACAAATAAGAAGAAAAAAAACCCAAAACCAGTATCCCTCAAGACAAAAACAGTAACAAAAAACCCTGAAGCAAAATCAAATACAGAGTGAGTAAAACAGATAGACTCAAATCAGCAAACTTAAGCTCATGCGCTTTTCTTAGAGTCAAGCTTCGTGATTCTTCACTCAGAATCGATATATTCTTTCCCTAAGTTTTTTATTGTGGTAAAATTTACAAAATATGAAACATAGTATTTTATTCATATTTAACTGTACGGTTCCATGGCACTAAGTACATTGACATTGTTGTACAATTTTTATCATCATCCATCTCCCAAATTTTCATCACCTTCCTAAACTGAAACTCTGTCCCCCTTAAACATTAACTCCCTATTTCCCCCCCACCCCCTCCCCCCAACCCAGCCCCGGGCCTCTACCGATGTACTTTCTGATCCTCAGTTTGACTCTTTAGGTACCTCATGTAAGTGGAATCAAACAGTATTTGTCTGCACATTGTGCTGCCCTGATGGCTCAGTGGTGAAGAATTTGCCCTCTGTGCAGGAGCCGCAGGAGCCACAGGTTCAATCCCTGTGTTGGGAAGATCCCCTGGAGGAGGGCATGGCAACCACTCCAGTATTCTTGCTTGGAGAATCCCATGGTCAGAGGAGCCTGGTGGGCTACAGTTCATGGGTCGCAAAGAGCTGGACGTGACTGAAGCGACTGAGCAACGTATACTGGAATGCATTTTTAGGATTAACTTAATGCATGTCCTACAGTTTTATGCCTTCCTTTTCTCTCCCCTGCACTATATAGGTTCTCACTAACTATGTTATACATGGCAGTGTATATGCGTCAATCCCAATCTCCCAATTTATCCCCCCCTTCTCTTCTTGGCGTCCATACATTTGTTGTATACATCTGTGTCTCTATTTCTGCTTATTTTTATCTATTTTTATATTGGACACAATTCTAACTCACTTCAATGAGTGGTTTCTGGTTTCTCAGCCAACTAGAGATTAGCAGCAACCTGTTCCATTAAGGTGCTGGTAGTATCATCTATAATTCTAATAGAAGGAACAGCTATAGTCCACTATGTCTAGCAGATGTCCAAACTCAACACCTGCCACTCCAGAGTCTCTGACGTAGAGGGTGAAGGGCTTCAGTAGTCCCTACATATATTTCTATATTATAGCACAGAGAAATACGACTCCGAGTCATCAAGCAAAGAAGGGTTTATGTCCACTGAACTCATGTTAAGGTGGGAAAGATATCCAAAATATCAAAATATTTTGGAGTATAGTTTCTAATGCATTTAAATTTTATTTTTAAAAATTTATTGAAATATAGTTGATTTACAATGTTGTGTTAGTTTTGAGTGTACAGCAAAGTGACTCAGTTCCACATTTATATATTCTACTTTATGTCCATTTCCATTATAGGTTATCATAATATATTGAGGATAGTTCTCACTGCTATACAGTAGGTCCTCATTGTTTATTTTATATATAGTAATGTGTATATGTTAATCCTAAACTCCCAATTTATCCCTCCTCCACTGTAAATTTCATTGATAAGGGATATTTAATGTATGACAGAGATAGAAAAACACTAGTTTTTCTTTTATTTCATTCTTTTCCTCAGTCATTTACTTGCTCATAATTTTTATCCATTCAACAAAATTTGATGTGGCTGAGATATGTCTATATTAAGACATTAAGGAAATACTGTATTTTCAGGTGGTCTGATTTCCAGTTTATTTTTTCTTTATGGCCACATATAGCTGGGTGATGAGTTGTTTAACGGATTCCCTGTTGGACATGTAGATTACTCATAGTATCTTCTGTTACAACAGAACCGCCTCATTTCTCCTGTTCCCTGAGAGGGGCTGACCTGTGCCTGGTGGCTGAGCCGTGCCCTGCCTGCTGCCCTCTCGTCTCCCCTGCTCAGCGGGTTGCCGCTCTTACCCACGCGCTCAGACGCTCCCCCACCCCTCCAGGGCCTTGGCCTGACCATCCCATCTCAAGCGTGCCCCTGCACCTTCCTCCTGTTTAGACATTTCTCCTCTTGGATTGGGACACGCTCCCGGTGCAAATTCCCATCTCCTCTTGAGGACTCCCCTGAGTCCCCAGGTAGGGGGTGGGGGGCTCTCTGCGTCTCCTATGTCCCTTGGCCAAACAAGAACCTCTTTTGTTGGGTTCCCCCTGGCCTCCCGCTGGGGTGAGAGTCTCCTCCCCAGCACAGGGCCTCGATCTTGCTGCTTTCTCAGGAAACACGAGGGGAATGAGCCCCTTGGGGTGGCATCAGGGGGCCCCATCCTCATGGAGGGGTAAAGTGTACCAGATCGCCCAGAAGGTCCCAGGCAGGGTGGGAGAGCTGGAGTGGGGTTCAGAAACCAGGGGGAGACAGGATCATAGCTGACCAATAGGAAAGAGGGGGCAGTGATCACTGGTGGGAACTTGAGAGGATTCCTGGGGAGACAGAGAGGATGGAGAGGGTATGGCAGGCAGCTGAGGAGTTTAAAGGCAGGGAAACGGAGGCCAGTGCGGGGCCTGGCCCTGAGGGGCGGAGCCCACCTCACTGGGTGCAGGTAGGGCTTCAGGACCGGGGGTCGGAGTGCGCGGGATTTGCGACTCAAGGGCCTGAGACACCTGTGTGAAAGAGGGCAGGTGGCAGCTTACTCTAAGTGCCTCAGTCTGCCTGTTTGTGGGGTCGGAGATCCCTCCCTGATTTGGAGAAGGTGACTCAAGCCTGCTTGAAGCTGGCACCGCTTGTTTGGCTCTGCCTGGTCAGGGTTCTCGGTGGGCTGGCTCCCCCGCTCCCCCTCAGGTCTGGGGATAGAGACCGACACGCAGGATCTAGGAAGGCTCTGATGGGGGGGCTTCCCAAGTTGTCCTACTCGAGAGCCGTCTGGGAACTCAGAAAAAATTTCTGGTGCCAGAGGCCCCCCAGCCTTGGTGAGGGGGAGTCCCTGGGGCTGGGGCTGGGTGTGGGGTCTTTGAGGCTCCCCAGCAATTGCACTGTGAGACTGAGTTGAGACCCCCCACCCCCCACCCCCAAGCTGCACTGGGCAACGCTGACCACACAGCGGAGGAACCAGGCCTTTCCTCTCCTGCAGTGCTGGTCACGGGCCAGCCTGACACTGCATGTGACTGCCGCCTGCCGTGGCCTGGGCGCCTAGAATGGGCAGCAGGTAGATCCACCTCAAAGCTATCCCCTCCTCTCTCCCCGGCCCGCCGTAGAGGACATCTTTGTTTATCACGACTGTCCTGGGCAGACTGGCTGACCGGCTCTACTAGTCCTGCGAGCACGCTGCCTGGGCTGTCGACGCCAAAATCCTCGACGTGGAATCCGCGGCTGGTGGTGGCTGAGCACAGTGGTGGACACCGCGGGGGACTGAGCGCAGCTGGCGGACGCTGAGCACAGCCCTCTGCCTCTCTCTGCCGCCAGCTAAGTGGCATCGCTCCCACCTGGAGGCTGGAAGTGAGCACCTGAAATACCGGGGCGGACGGGCAACAGGCGGGAGGCCCAGAGGTCTTAACCGCTCTGCTTTTCCTCCTCCTGTTGCCGCTTCACTGCCTCCGTCCCCAGTGCTGCTGTAACAGCTGAAAGAACGGATGAACAAACAGAGCTCCTCAAAGCTGGTGGCTTTAAGCAACACAAATCGATCATCTTCAAGTTCTGGAGGTCAGAAGTTCCAAAATGCCTCTCCCCACCAAGGTGTGGGCAGCGCTGTGCTCCTCCCGGAGGCTGCAAGGGAGGATCAGTTCCCTGTCTCTCCAGCCCCTGGAGGCCGCCAGCGTTCCTCGTCTTTGAAGCACATCCCTGCAGCCTCTTCTGTCATCACAACTCCTTCTCTGCCTCTGAGCCTCCCCTGCCTCCTTCCTGTGAGGACCCTTAACTCAACCCCATCTGCCAAGGCCTTTTTCCCTGGAAGGGAGCACACATTATAATCCTGGGGATTAGCATGCCCTCAGGGAGGGCGTGATTGTGTTCCTAGACCCAGGAAGAAGAAGTAACTTGAGGTCCTGGGCAGAGGTAGCTGGTGTGGCTGCCTTTCCCCAGGTCCCTGCATCCTGCTTGCGCTGTCATCAGCAAACATCCTCAGATAAAACAGCCAAGAGTTTCCATTGGCTCAAGGCTTCCAAAAAACACAAAGTTTCTAACTTTCAAATAATGATTTCCTCCCCTCTGCAAATTTTCTGAGTGACTTTGTTCAGAGTGGCCTGACCCAGAAAGTATGGGAGAAACAGGGCCTGTGCGCCCATGTTTCCTGGTGGCAAAAGAGTCTCAGATCCCTGAAGGAAGGTAGGTTCCGATTGATCTTAAACTACTTACACAGATCTAGCAACAAGTTTAGGATCCAAATGCAACCTGGGGAAATGTTTCCTGGATGAAAGGGAAATGAAGAGCTATGAGGGAGCCTCAAGAGCCAAATCACAGCCCAAAGCATTTCTTTTGGGGAAAGTGTAATTGTAAGTAAATGAATGCTCTGTCATTAGTACAGATCTTGTGTACATAAATAGAGAAAAACCATTTGGGGCAATGTTATAGATTTAATAGAATAAAAGGGAAAAGCAACAGAGGAGAAACAGAGAAGAAAGAAAAGGAAGAAAACACTAAAACAGGAGGAGGAGGCCCTCACCTAGAGCATCAGGCTACGACTCAGCTCAGGGTAAACTCTTCTGCTGCACCAAAATAATGCCCCAACCCAAGAGACACAGAAAACCAGTCTGAACCATGTTCTAAGGCAAAGCTTACTCTGCTTGAACATTCTCTTTCAAAGTTGGGTTTCGTTTATGTATTCAGTTGTGTTCAGCTAATATCTCAGACATTTATTTAGCCTCAAAATATTGTAGAGTTATTCAATCTATGCACTCTATTAAAACTATCCCTTACCAATTAGTTCCAAAAATACTTGGAGACACACACGTATGCCAACATTTGTATTACTGTTAAATAATCCTAATCAAGTGCACCACTTCTTTGTGATCACTGTCTTTGATCTCCAGCTGCCTTGATCTACAGCAACTTGAAGCAGAGTTTTGATTCCCGGCCAGACTGAGGGCGGGTCATGGCAGTGAGAGCTCCAAATCCAGCCCCTAGATTGGTGGTCAGTGACAAGGCCTGGTGCTTCATCTTTGCAGAAAAAGAATTCCTACAAAGACAAAAAGTAGTGAAACAAGTACAGTGTTTATGAGGAGGAAAAAGAGTATAGCTCATGAGGGTAGACACTCAGGCTGACTCAGACAGAGACAGCTGTGCCCTTGTGGTACTTTAGATCACTTATATCGGGCGTTTCTTCCAGGTTTCCTTTGGCCAGTCATTTTGATTTGCCTGGTTCTGAGTCCACATTTGGTATGTCTCAGGCTCCTCCCATGTGTGCATATCTTAGCCAAGATGGGGTGTAGCGAAGAGGCCTGTGGGTAGTTAGCATCACTTACATGAGGCAATGCCCCCTCCCCGCCCCTTTTTACAGGTTTAATGGGTTTAATAAGTTTACGCCTTTAGTTCCTATTTGCAGCATCCAATATTCCTTTGGAACACCAGACAGACCCAGCAGTGGCCAGCAGTCAAGTTCAGACCTCCAGAGTTTAAAAGCTCAGCTTCTCTGAGCATTCTGTGTTGCAATGGCACTTGTCTGAAATTGGTACCTCCCTAACTTTGGGGGAACTTTAAATGTAGATGCCTCTAAGGGGAGTGACCAGGGGCAGAGGAGGAGCTTCCCGGCTGCAGGCACCCAACATGTGTGCTTCACAGAAGAGTAACAATAACAAGTCCACAGAATGCAACAGTGACAATTGTAGAAGTCCATTCATCCAAGGGTGGTGGGAAGGTGGTGGGAGGCAGGCAGGGGAAGTGGGAGGGGAAATGGCCCAGGGAGAAAGGGTATTCAAGTCAGTCCAGGCGCAAGGCTGGCAAACCCTAGAAAAGAGCTGCAGAAAAACCTGCGGTCCTTTCAGACTCACTGGTGTTTCAAATCCATACTGGTGTGAGGAAGATTCTGCCTTACATGCGCCAGAGACAAAAATCCAGATTCCTCAGAGAGAAGGGGATGCGGGCAGGGCTCTTGGCAGGTGGGCTCTGTCTCCCCTGGGAGGGGTGGAGGGGGGCCGGGGAAGGGGTGCCAGGCGGCCTTCCAGCCCAGCCGGCTCCTCCGGGTGGCGGGCGTACCCTCCACGGCCCGCAGCACCTTCAGTTTGCAGGAGATGGTGCGGAGAGGGGAGTTTTTCCGCAGAAGTGGAGCTGCTCAGGCAGCTCGCAGGGAGACCATCTTGTGGAAGAGGCTGTTGTTTAAGAAAACCAAGGAGAAGAGGCGCATCTGGAGAAGATGTGCTTTGCCAGGTCTTTGCTTCAGGGATGATGAATAAAGGAAAGAGGACAGAGAAGAGGATCCACTGACAAGGCGGGAGGACTGCCTTGTGTGGAAAGCCGGGCAAACCAATCCAGAATGGCAGTCCAGTTCCTTTCTATGTCTGACAGCCACGGGCGCATTTTGATTTCTGCACGAGGAAGAGGGCCTCAAGCAAGAGGTTGAAGAGCGTGTCAGCAATGCCAGGGAACGGGGGAGGCCTCCTCAGGGATAGCTCAAGTGCCAGGTCAGCTACGTCCTGAAACCAAATCGCACGGAGGACTTTACTGAACACAGAGAGCGGGAGCATCCAGACAGCACCGAAAACTGTTGTGAGGAAGAACCCCAGCCACCAGCAGACATCCCGGGGTAGTGACGGATCACCAATATGGATCACCCAGATCACCAATATGGATCACCCAGATCACCAATCTGAGCTGTTGTTACTGACTGAAGGGCAGGAATAAACACTTCATAAAACAAGAGGAGCCGGACCCAGATGACTCCACCCTTCCAAGCGCAGCATTGAAAATCTCTGCCAACAACATGTGGCTCACCCCCTGCTTCCCGAGCTAAGCCAGGACACGCTCGCCCTTCTCCGAAGCTGCTTCTCTCTTTTGCTGATTTCGAGCATCCAGTTTTGAGAGGGCGCAGACTCCCCAGATGGCGTTTTTGAGTCCCCTGGCAATGTCCCGCGGAAAAAAGGTTTGACCCTGTCCCGCTTTCTCCTTACCGCCCAAGCTATCAACGACACGAGGGAGAGAGCGGAGTCCCCAGAACTTCCATGGGAAGGACCGCGCAGCTTCGCCGAACGGCTGCGGCAGAGCCCCCGCGGCCCGCCCGCTGCCCGTGCGCCGCCGCCGCGCAGGGCGCCCCCTTCCTGTCTGACTTCCAGGAGGCCTTTCTGCGCAGTGTTGCGGGGAGGTCTCCTGACAGAGGATGAGAAAGTGTGGTCTCCTCTCCTCTGTCTGTGCAGGGAGCAGCCTCCGCCCCCAACTGTCCTTCTATTTTCTTCTTGGAGTATCTCACTTTCTTCTCCTAAACAACTGGAAGCCAGAGACATCAACTCTTCCACACACAGCCAAAAGTAACTGTGACAAAACTGATTCAATAAAACTGTGAAATGGGCTCACTTGATTTTCTTTGCTTTCACGACTTGCCTTTCTTGTAACATCTTTTAATTTCATTTATTTATCCTCATTATTAATTTCCTCATTTATTTATTGAGCACTCACTATCTGCTGGAATAAAAACATCTTAGAAAATACTAAAAATAATTTTATTGCCTTCCCCAGGATATCTGCCTTTATACTTTCTCAGACTGCAGAATAAAAGACTTTAAACTGTACGATATTTAAAGAAACCTCTTTCTCTACCCTCTTATATGTGTTTGGGGCCTGAAGATTAAACTGACAAAAGACAGATTAATGGACAACAAGTGGGGAAAATGGGGGGGGTGTATAAATTGGGAAACCAGGATTGATATACATATATACACAACTATGTTTAAAATGGGCTTTCCAGATGGCACTAGTGGTAAAGAACCTGCCTGCCAAGGCAGGAGATTTAAGAGATGCGGGTTCGATCCATGGGTCAGGAAGAGCCCCTGGAGGAGGACATGGCAACTCACTCCAGTATTCCTGCCTGGAGAATCCCATGGACAGAAGAGCCTGGCGAGTTATGGTCCATAGGGTCACAAAGAGTCAGACATGACTGAAGCAACTTAGCACATGCATAAAATAAGTAACTATGAGAACTTGTTGTATAGCACGGTGTTGGGAGGGGGGGGGGAAGAAGGTGCAATCTGTTTGTAGGACATATACTAAGTTCACCTTAAAAATGCACTTCTGACAAAACGTGGTCCACTGGAGAAGGGAATGGCAAACCACTTCAGTATTCTTGCCTTGAGAACCCCATGAACAGTATGAAAAGGCAAAAGGATACAACACTGAAAGATGAACTCCCCAGGTCAGTAGGTGCCCAATATGCTATTGCAGATCAGTGGAGAAATAACTCCAGAAAGAATGAAGAGATGGAGCCAAAGCAAAAACAATACCCAGTTGTGGATGTGATTGGTGATGGAAGTAAAGTCCAATACTGTAAAGAGCAATATCACATAGAAACCTGGAATGTTAGATCTATGAATCAAGGCAAATTGGAAGTGGTCGAACAGGAGATGGCAAGAGTGGACATCGACATTTTAGGAATCAGTGAACTAAGATGGACTGGAATGGGTGAATTTAACTCAGATGACCATTATATCTACTACTGTGGGCAAGAATCCCTTAGAAGAAATGGAGTTGCCCTCATAGTTAACAAAAGAATCTGAAATGCAGTTCTTGGATGCAATCTCAAAAACAAGAAAATGATCTCTGTTCATTTCCAAGGCAAACCATTCAGTATTACAGTAATCCATGTCTATGCCCCAACCAGTAACGCTGAAGAAGCTGAAATTGAACAGTTCTATGAAGACCTACAAGACCTTCTAGAACTAACACCCAAAAAAGATGTTCTTTTCATTATAGGGGGATGCAAAAGTAGGAAGTCAAGAGATACCTGGAGTAACAGGCAAATTTGGCCTTGGAGAACAGAATGAAGCAGGGCAAAGCCTAACAGAGTTTTGCCAAGAGAACGTACTGGTCATAGCAAACACCCTCTTCCAACAACAAAAGAGAAGACTACACATGAACATCACCAAATTCTCAACACTGAAATCAGATTGATTATATTTTTTGCAGCCAAAGATGGAGAAGCTCTATACAGTTAGCAAAAACAAGACTGGGAGATGACTGTGGCTCAGATCATGAACTCTTTATTGCCAAATTCAGACTCAAATTGAAGAAAGTAGGGAAAACCACTAGACCATTCAGGTATGACCTAAATCAAATCCCTTACAATTATACAGTGGAAGTGACAAATAGATTCAAGGGTTTAGATCTGATAGACAGAGTGCCTGAAGAACTGTGTATGGAGATTCATGACATTCTACAGGAGGCAATGATTAAGACTATCCCCAAGAAAAAGAAATGCAAAAAAGCAAAATGGCTGTCTGAGGAGACCTTACAAATAGCTGTGAAAAGAAAAGAAGAGAAACACAAAGGAGAAAAGAAAAGATATACCCATTTGAATGAAGAGTTCCAAAGAATAGCAAGGAGGGATAAGAAAGCCTTCCTCAGTGATCAATGCAAAGAAATAGAGGAAACCCAATAGAATGGGAAAGACTAGAGATCTCATCAAGAAATTAGAGATACCAAGGGAACATTTCATGCAAAGATGGGCACAATAAAGACAGAAACGGTATGGACCTAACAGAGGCAGAAAATATTAAGAAGAGGTGGCAAGAATACACAGAAGAACTGTACAAAAAAGATCTTCATGACCCAGATAACCATGATGATGTGATTATCTAGAGCCAGACATACTGGAATATGAAGTCAAGTAGGCCTTAGAAAACATCACTATGAACAAAGCTAGTGGAAGTGACAGAATTCCAGTTGAGCTATTTCAAATCCTAAAAGATGATGCTGTGAAAGTTCTGCACTCAATATGCTAGCAAATTTGGAAAACAGCATTGGCCACAGAACTGGAAAAGGTCAGTTTTCATTCCAATCCCAAAGAAAAGCAATGCCAAAGAATTTTCAAACTACCGTACAATTGCACTCATCTCACACGCTAGCAAAGTAATGCTCAAAATCCTCCAAGCCAGGCTTCAACAGTATGTGAACAGTGAAATGGATGAGATGGTTGGATGTCATTATCAACTTAATGGACATGAGTTTGAGCAAGCTCTGGGAGTTGGTGATGGACAGGGAGGCCTGGCGTGCTACAGTCCATGGGGTCACAAAGAGTTGGACATGACTAAGCAACTGAACTGAAAAATGCATTTCAGCATACACTAGGTGCAGACAAATACTGTTTGATCCCACTTAAACGAACAGTCAAATTCATAGAGTCAGAAAGGACATTGGTAGGTGCCAGGGCTTTGGGGGTTGGGGGTGGGAGTAGGGGAAGGGGGACTTAGTGATTTGTGGGGACAAAGTTTCTGTTTAGAAAAATGAAAAATTCAGCAGATGAATGAAGGTGAGAATTGCACAAGAATGCAAATGTACTTAGCGCCACTGAACTGTGCAGTCAAATATGGTTAAAATAGTGTGTTTTCTATTATGTGACTTTTACCACAATAAATAACATTTAAAAAAAGACAGATTAAAAGGAGAAAAGTCACACACAAATTTTATTTGATGGTAATATTTTTTATTTTTTACATTCACAGAGACCTTCACAGAAAAATGAAGACCCAAAGAGGCAGTTAAACCTGGGGGCTTATACACTATTGTATCAAAGGGCAATATATTCATAGAAAAATGACAAGACAAGGGCAATAAATTGTGGAAAGATAAATATTTGAAAGTGAAGGTCGTTCAGTCGTGTCCCACTCTGTGACCCCATGGACTATACAGTCCATGGAATTCTCCAGGCCAGAATACTGGAATGGGTAGCCTTTCCCTTCCCCAGGGGATATTTCCGACCCAGAAATCAAACCCAGGTCTCCTGCATTGCAGACATATTCTTTACCAGCTGAGCCACATGGGAAGCTGGGGAAAACTAATGGAAGATGGGTGTTATTTTAGCAAGACTTGTTTGTGCAGACCCATCTTGGGGCTGACTTTCTGTCTCCTCCTGGCTGTTCTCCTGATGTGGAAGAAAGGAAGGAGAAAATGTTTACAAAGGAAACTTTTTAGTCAGCTTTCAGGCAGGTAGGATGAGGGCAAAGAGCTCTTTCTGAATTTGCCACTTCTTAACTTGTTTAACTCAGAAATAATATCTATGCCAAAGTGGCACATTTTAGGGTGTCATATTCTGATCCCTTTCAGTACCTTATTAAAGGACCTTTATATTAAAGGGGTGAGGGTACTGGGACCCAGAGACAGAATCCCTGGGGACCACATCCCATCTGGACGAAGGCGTTAGGAAGTTGGAGGCTTGAGGGGCTTTCTTTCTGGACCAAGGTACTGGTCACCTGCACAGCATACTCTCCAGTCAACCCTTTTGCATTGGTTTCATCTAAGCCATTGAACTTGCCTTCTGTTAACTAGGCTTTAATTTGGGCTTCTAGTCATTGAAATCCCTGGTTTCATCCCCATGTTATGCTCGTCCCTTTCTGTTTCTCCGTCTTCTTCACTACTCAACCCCTTGACCTGTTGGAGCTGATTTTCCTTGGCTGTGAGCTTTCCTGTTGATTATAAATATAGGTGAAAAAAGGGCCTTGGAGACATCAAATCTGTACTCCTCAGTCTATACCTCAGTGACCTTGGGCAAGTTACATAATTTTCTAAACCTTTGTTTCTTCAGCTACGTTGTTGTTCAGTCGCTCAGTTGGGTCTGACTTTTTTGCGACCCCAGTGGGCCAGGCTCCACTGTCCATGGAATTCTCCAGGCAAGATTACCGGAGTGGGTAGCTGTTCCCTTCTCTAGGGGATCTTCTTGACCCAGTGATTGAACCTTGGTCTTCTGCATTTCAGACAGATTCTTTACTTTCTGAGTCAACAGGTTCACTGTATGTATAGTGTTGACATTATGTACATTCAGTTCAGTTCAGTTGCTCAGCTGTGTCTGACTCCTTGCGATCCCATGTACTGCAGCACGCCAGACTTCCCTGTCCATCGCCAACTCCAGGAGTTTACTCAAACTCATGTCCATTGAGTCAGTGATGCCATCCAACTATCTTGTCTTCTGTCCTCCCTTTCTCCTCCTGCCCTCAGTCTTTCCCAGCATCAGAGTCTTTTCCAATGAGTCAGTTCTTTCATCAGGTGGCCAAAGTATTGGAGTTTCAGCTTCAGCATCAGTCCTTCCAATGAATATTCAGGGTTGATTTCTGTTAGGATTAATTGGTTTGATCTCCTTGCTCTCCAAGGGACTATCAAGAGTC